ATATGGGGTCTTTGCCTTGAAAATGACCTTACGGTATATGATACCGTAAGGTCATTTTCAAGGCAAAGACCCCATATAACGAGTAACAATCTATTGTTATAGCCTCTAATGTTAATGCTCTAACCCTAAACATCTATCTTTACTTAGTTTATTTACAAAATTCGATTTCCTTTTTTGGTTTGTGTTACTCGCACAAATAAGTAAATCGCCTATGTTGGGGTACCTGATGATTTTGACAAATCAGGGTGAATTGGTCATGTGCCATTCTAATTTTAACTTCAGGGCTAACCAATACTGATACGACCAAACTTTTCTTTTTCTGTTATATTTTACTAATTTTCTCAGAAATTAATAGATCTTAAGCTATCTTTGGGAAATAAAAAATGGATAGTGTTAACGTTGAAGACATATATAAAGCTTATGAAATAATCGATCGAGCAGGTGATTATAACGAAGTAAGTAAATCACTTTTGAAAGGAATCGTCGTTTTCTGTAAGCTAATAGTCTTATACATTTAAGGAGGTTAAGAAATCATACAAGACAATAATTAGTGGTGCCCACGGAGAAAGTAATTGCAAGCGTCTTGCCGCCCAATTTATTCCACGATTTTTTGGGAAATTTCCTGAATTTCACGAGATGGCTATCGATGCCCTATTTGATCTCTGTGAAGACACAGACTTGAATGTACGCACCTTATGATTAGCGCCCATTTTTGGCTTTGATTTAATAGACGACTGATCGAATTTCTATATACGATTGTTGACTTGCCAAAAGGTGCGATTAACTGTTATAAAATATTTACCTAATGTTGTCAAAGAATCTGACAAAGTTGCGGTGCGGATTGCTGATGCTCTGGTGCAGTTACTTCAAAATGGTGAGAATAAACTCATTATAGATTGCTTGTAACATACGTTCCAAATTAATATCTATCATTTTTAAAAGAGACTGCTCAAGAAATTGCCGCTGTGAAAAAAGCTCTCGAACAAGTTATTCGTTTATCGCCACGTGATTCTATTGTTGCGATCTTTCAACAGTCATTAAAGGGTTCACCTGAAGTGCGGCATCGAACGATTAATTTTTTGTCGAATGACTTGAATCGCTTCAAAGAAGAGTTATTTGAGAAAGGGGATGATGTTGAAACTTGTTTTGCCAATGAAGTGAAGAAAGTACGTATTTTATGTTAACCTTTTAATAAATTATAATGCTTTACTTCATTTTATTTATTATTTTTATTCACAACAGGCACTCCATGATGCTAATATTTCAGAATGCGAGATATTTATTAAAATGCTTCTACCGTTAAAAATATATCGAATTGAAAATAAAGATAATTTGAAAGAACTGGTTAATGTATTAATCAACTCGATCGCTACAGGAGACGAAAAGTTCGACGTATAAATTTTTTCGATTTATTCTTCCACGAAAGAAATAATTTGATAAATAAAGAGCTAACACGTGTTTGTAGCCTACAGATCATAACAAAGTGCAAAAGCTTCTATTGTGTGGGAAAACTCTTATTCCATATTTTGAGGTAAAACAAAAAAAAAACAAATAAATAATGTTATGAATTTATGAAACATAAAAATCTTTTAACTATAATTTGAAATAATGGGATAGAAAGGTGTAAAGAGCACATCATTCCTTGCCTTCCTTGTGAACAAAATTCTACCAAAGGAGATATATTCCAAACTACAGGAACGACACCAGAAAATGATTCTAAGATTTTTAGCGGAGTGTATTAGTGGAAAGCACAATGAAGCGACGATCAAAAATGCTGCACCATTAGTAAAAGAGTTATTTATTGTATGTATCTATATGTTACCGAAAATTCTTTGCGCTTATTCCATGATATGATTATATGTAGAATGAAATACCACCCCCTGGAGATGATACCGAAGTAGAGCCAAAATTGGATTTGCCGAGGGTCGAATACATTGTTTTTGCTTTATATTGCATTGCTTCCAAGGTATATAATTATACATGTGATGGTTTCTATCTTGCTATACAATTACCATTTAAGTTGAGTATATTTATTAACGAATTTAGATTCCAGAAATAGTTGAAGGACAGGAAATGATTTCACGGTTTGTTATCATTGAATGTACATAGGTAGTTGGTCAAAGTCAATGCAACAAAACTTAATACTTTTTCAGGTTCCGAAACCTTTACGCCATTGCTATAAAATGTATCTCACGTATTAAACAAGGATTGAAGGATTTACAAAAGCGTGAGTCAAAAGATCAGGAAACATTGGAGGTTAATATTTTGTCTTACCAATGAATTGATGTAGACCGTTTTTAAAGTTTTATATTGATGTTATTTCTGTTCAAATTTTGAACTTTTTAAATATTCAAGAAAATCAAAAAAGCGGAAAGTGGCCAAATAGTAACAAATAACATACTTACCATGATAAAGGTAAACAAGATAACTCGTTAGTTCGTCTATCAACAAATTTATTAATATATTTTCTTGTTGCATCAGGAGTTGATGAAGCCCGTAAAAGCTAGACATTTCACCAAAATCGTACATTCTTGGAGTACATCGCAATCAAATGTAGTAGTAGCACCCCCATCGACACCAGTAAAACGGACAGCTGATGCTGATTCTTCAACTGAGACACTAACTAATAAAAAGCGAATGATAGAAATTTTACGATCTCAAATGGTTCAGAAACCTAGAGTTTAGAACCGGGTTATAGTAAACCGGGTCACCCGTGTCAAAACGGTTCAACCGGGTCAAAAATTTACAACT